TTTTATCTTTGCGGAAAAAGTAGCAAAGCGAGAAAGAGAAGGCATGCACTTCAACAAAAAAAGGAGCAGCGAGCTCTGTTTGAAGAGTAGGAAATTAGACTGAAAGCAGACAGTCTCCCCAAAGCTAGATTCTAGTACCAAGCAGAAAAAAAATATTTTTAAAAATGCATAGTTATGTAGTCCAGCCTACCACCTGCCAAGGAATTACAAGAGGCAGATGGTTATCAAAATTAATTAGGACAGATTCTGTTTCAGCAAAGGATGCTTCAATATTACTTTACACAGAACTGTTCTTCATCAGGTGCAATACACAGCTTCTTGATTTTTCTAGCAAGGAGTGGGACTAGTTTCTCCATGCCATGAAGCACAAATTATATTAACAAACACGCTAGACCATCATCCACAGCACAAATACTTATTAAAGACTAAAACTGCAAATAGAGCAATTTTAAATTCTCCAAGGTTACTTGATAATTAAGTATTAGAAAGAAGAACCTGCAGAAGAACTGTTATGAAAAGAGTGTATCTACACTGTTAAAGTACTTCTAGAAAATTTAACATCCTTTCACTTTTGGCTGATGTTTATTCAAACATGCATCTTTGGGCCCTTTTTTTCGCCCCCCACTACACACCTAGGTGTCCTCTAACCTCAAGGTCCTATTTGAAGCTTTTGATTTCCTGAAGTGTTCGCTCTCACAGCTCCTCACTGTCAGGCTACAAGCCTTTATCAGGACGGGCTCTGTAAGAGCTGTTTGCTCAGCTCTCCCCTCTGCACTTACCTTAGAGATGATTTACAATGCTATAAACCATGCGTGTGCCAAGGATGGACCTGCACTTATACAACATTTCCTTACTGCTGAGTAACTATTTCTTTATTGTTGTTTACTCCTGTCAGCATCAGCTGCAGTTGATGCAGAGAGATGACTTGAAAAAAGTCATCTCTCCAAACTATTCCAGTAGTTCCCCACCTACCTTCCCTATTTCATGCCCTGCCTCTGTGTCACCCCCTCAGGTTTCCAAGCTGGATGTGTACTGTTACCTTGCACCTTCTTGGTCTCTAATTGAAGATGCAGGAATGGTACTGATGTCCATTCAGAGAAACAAGCTGTTTCTAAGAAAACGCTACTGAGACAAAGGAGCAGGCTCACTGCTGGGCTGAGCTGCAGGACCACATTAGAACATGAGGAATTCAGGTGACTTGCAAGACAGTTTGTCCACTTACACCACACGGCTGCATTCACCGTGGAGCTGCACAGGATTACGGGGCATCACAGGACATCACTTGTATACATGTTCATCGGGCAAAACGAATATTACAGATATAATAAGTGAATTCTTAAAGGTCAACTGGCCAAGAGCTTTTCACCGCACTGGCTTTCAAGCAAAGCAACTCAGAGAAGGCCCTAGACAGCCCTCCACTGCTGTCGTGAGCCTTCAGCTTCCCAAAACACCCAGGTCAGCAGACAGACTGCAGAGGAATGGCTATCACTAAGGCATTCTGTGGATGCACAGAGCTACCGCTCCACATGTGTGAAACACAGGCCAATATTAAGGTGCAGAGCTAATTCTGAAGTTACTCACGGTTTAGTTTGAACGCCAAAACTGGTACAGTTCATTTTAAACAAGGTAGTTCAGCTCCCCAAAGGCTCTAGTGATCACCGTTCAAACAGCAAACTGCTGTTTCCTAAACAGTGAGATCAGTTTTAGTTCCAAAATAACCTGATTCTTGAAGTCTAGAAAGTCAATGGCCTTGAGAAGCCTTTATCTAAAACCACTGTTGTGCTGATAACCTTAACTTCGCCATAAACAAAAAAAATTCTCACAAAGCTCGTTCCATTAAATTGTTTTAGAAAGCCATGGGAATACAAGCCTACAGGAGTTCCTATCTCTTTCCAGGGTTTCACTGCACGGAAGTATCCTTCATGCACACAAGGTTTCCTGGAGAGACTGTGCATACAGAAGAAAGATGACACAATACTAGGCCACAACACAGGTCTAACTTTTTCCCAACGCTGGTCACTCAGAGCCCCTAAGAGGTTGGTCAGAGAGGGAACCATCACAACTGCACTGCAAAGAACTTCAGTGGTTAATCAGAGAGGCAAGCTACCACAAAACCAAACAGAATCACAGCCTATTACCACCAAGGTCCTTCCAGGTAAGCTGCAGAAGTCATCCCTAGTTGACAGGAGCTATCCACTCAAATCCTGTAAACCAAGCTAGACTTACAATGCCTCTATAAAGCAAAATAATCCCTTGTATATTATAAACTCATGCTGTACATGCTCATGATCCATCATATCCTCTATGCTTCGGGAATAAGCCTCATTAATTTACTCCTGACAGATGCTAGAAGCCATAACAAGATTTATAATATCTGCAGCATGGAGCAAGATTTTAGGGCTCACTGAAGGGTTGTTGGCTCCACACCCAAGCTCTCGACACGTTTTCCTTTGCAGGTTTCACAGACATATAGACAGAGCAGTACAGAAGCAAGGATACTTGCTCATTAAGGGGAGGACTCATTTTCCCCTGTTTACACCTAATTTCAAAGAGCTATGCAAGCAGTGGTGCACTTCACTTATGTGGTTTTAACGTCATTTAAGACTATTTAACTTTTTTGAGTTAATGAGGGTTCTTAACTGGCAGCCTCCTTTTGACAGCCTTGCCTATGACAACCAGTTCATAATGTGAATGATACTGAGGGAAAAAGCTAGAACAGCATGAAACCTCTGATCTCAGTAGTCAAACTCCTCACAGCACATTCATCTGAACTATCAATCACTACAGATGGCCTAGTTTCAAACACAGTATTTTCTAGATACACAGAAAAACACACTAAAGGTTCTTCAGAACCTGCGGAGCTAGTTCAAGCTTAGTACCAAAACAAGTATCCCAGTGTACTTTATGAAACAAAAAATGCAAATTGAGTCCATACCTCAGTTTCCCAGTTTTAAGGCTGGTTTTTTACCTATAATTTTGAAAGAAGGGCAAAACCATGCTCAGCTGAAAAAGCGTGCCAGCTAAGAATGACTAGTATGACTCAAAAAAAAACCAACCCCAAAACCAGAGGTATTTATTTATTTTTGAGGTATGGAGACATTTTGTGACTAAAGATGACACTGAATTTCCTGTAAGCTGCTTCTTAACATCATGCATAACACTTTCTTGAAGTCACACTTTTTCCCCCTACAGACTCAGAGTAAAGCAGACTCATTTATGAAGCAAAAGTAGCTTTGCTAGTCAGAGAACTTCAGATAAAAATCAGTCACAGCAGGGAAACAATAAGTAGCAAAAACACAAGCTTCCTATACATACACATTTCTCTTCCCTCCCTTTCCACCAACTATGCCTTCTTTCAGATTTGCCCTGTTTTTCAGCAGCATTATCATCACCTACATCAGGATCGTTATCCCAGGTTAAAAACATTCCCAGGATGTATCAGGAAAGCACCGCTATATGCACGCACCTGTAATAGCAAAACCACACTTTATATTTTGTAAAATACAAATCCCTCTTATAAAGTAATCCATACAAGCAGAAGTGCAGCTCTGATAGTCACGCTGCACTGCAGCTCAAGAATCATGGTATCCGTCTGCCAAAGTAAGCCTGAAATACTGCCTGGTGCAATGGGAAACTGCCTTGCGTTGTGGTGGCTTTGATGCAAACAATCTTCTAAGAGCTCCACTGACATCTGCCTCTCAGACTGCAGAACAAGGCACAGACACGAGCTGCATTCAGCCATACGCAACCCAAGCTGTACATTGGGTGAGGGTCAGAATTCCTGCATTTCATTCCCGTAAAGCGTCCCCAGCCCACACAGGAATGTTTTCCACAGTACATACCTGTCCATTGTGGTGGGCAGCGGCAATTGTACGTGTTCACACCGTCCACGCATATACCCCCATTTTGGCAGTTGTGATTTGGGCAGTCGTCAACGTTGTGCCCACAGATGGTTCCCTCGAAACCTGAAAAAGCAGAAAGACAGCAGACTGAAATGGGCTTCCAGCCTCTTTTGAAGAGAATTCACCCATTGTGCACCTTCCTCCCTTCTTTTTATCTTAAACGTTTGCCCTGTTAATCTAATCCTGATGAACCTTGGTGTAGCACCCTGACCAGAGACTTCATTGAATGCCTTTGCTGAGAGCATGCAGATCAGATTACACAGTTAGAACACTACTACTGCAGGTAAATGGCCAAATATGTCTTTGCCACCAAAAAGACAAGGGTATTTTTTCTTTAAGTGACAAATGAGCACTGTCATTCAAAGCAAACAAAGTAAAGACCAAGAGATTTAGTTTACTACAAGGTAAACTCATCACTATCCATCAAGCAGCAGTTAGAGCATCACTCAGGACAAGTTTTTCCCATGACAAAAAAGTGCCTGATGTTCACTTCATTAATATCTCAGCATAGCTTACGTCTTGGCCACGTCAAAGACGGATCTTCTATGCTTTGAAAATGAGCTTCCAAATTCCTGATTTGGCTCTCTTCAGTGTTAGACAAGTCACTCAACAAATCAGCCACCACCCAAGCGATGCTTACACACTAAGCCCAGACTGAAAAGCATGAAAAAAAAAAAAAAAAAAAAAAATCATCGAGACTCCTAACGAATGTAGCCACACTGGCAAAACCTTCTTGCTAGATCTCCTCCTTTCAAACAAGAAGTGGAGACATTAAGGATGGGAGTCATCTATAATTCATCTTCCCCTAGACTTCTCTTGCCAGATAACTTCATGCTTCATCAAATAAACCTACCAATTCTCCTAGATGAGAGCGGTACTTATCAAAGCACAAGTGGATGCATGCTAATGTGGATGAAGTAAATGATTCCAGAACACAAGCGTTAATTTAAAACACCACATCTGCCTCTTCAATGCTTTGGAATGTAATATTAACATGACACAGTCCTCTCATCCAAAATTATACTTTAACCCCTCTACTTTTGATGCCCTGTTCCAGATGCTTCCATAACATGTGTCAAGTCACACAGACCCTCTAAGCAACATCTGTTCCAACGCAGATCACGCTGTGTGGCACATGAGACAGACTGTAAAGCTCTGAAGCAGCTTCTCCAGACTACTGCTACTCTTAGAGACACAAGATGACACATACGCATTCCCACCTCCTGAACTTCTCCAATACTACAGGCAGGAGTCAGAAGTTTCGAAGTACTGCACGCAAATTTAAAGCAGTCTAATGATTTTGAGTAATACTAAAACATGGAAGCCACTTTAACACTAAAACCTCACCAAGCCATTGTACATTTTCATGTTTTAACCAGCTATATCTAAGAGCTGGTCCTCAAGTATCTCAAGCAAATGTAGAAAACCATTAATCCCACACTAAAAGCTGGAGGACACCACTAGTGACAGCAGAACAGAAACAAAACAGAGCTTACAAAAAAAACTCTGTGTCGTAAAAGGCTCAAGGGAAATGACACAGCCAAGCGTGCTCAGTCAAAGGACATCTCCAAGGGAAAGGGAATCGGGAAGGGTTAAAATGGTGAAAATGACACTATTTTGAGTGCACAGCTGAAGAAAACACACATTTCCTTTTTGGTAACTTCCCAACTCCCAAATCCCCTTTAAATTTGTCTTACACTGAAGATGAACATTGGCTTAGTTTCAGAACATCTAAAAGCTGTAAAGGCATGATTTTTGTCTCCTCTTCAAGTTGAACTTACACTGTAGAATTGAGATCTGCTTAATTTGTAAGTAAAACTGTCCTAGTAAAGTTTAGCTTTCATTTGTAAAACCAGCCCTTTACAGGCACAGTTGTTTGGGCCAACACACCTACATTTGAGCACGACAAGCATGAAGTTGCTCCAAGACACACGCGCTTTCCTTGAGCTAGGACCCAGGACCTGATTTTGCAGTTACATAACCTGACTCTTTTCCAGAAAGCCGCTGAGTTCACTGTTTTGATGTATTTGGACACCTGACACTGTTTCCTGTTCCCCCCTGTGCTGGGACTGACATCTGTCCTTTGCTTTCTCCCTCCCAGAGAACAGTTTGCAATACATATCCTGACTTTCGCTCCATAGCTCCAAGCACAGCAAACTAAGGAATGAAAACCTCAAGGGGAAAAGCGTTCCCACTGCTAACAGTGGTTGTTCCTCCTCTATTACGCAGACGGACACAAGCAGATAACTTTAATCCTAGGTCATCTGAAATCTCCACCCCATTCCAGAGCACTATATCCAATTCCCTCCAAATCTTAATCCTTAGCCTTATTTCAACCTTGCAGGACCAATTAGTTATGAGGACAGGAAAGTATATCTGAATGAAAATGTCACGTTATTGCCAGATTTAGGGCCTGCCGACAAGAAATTAGGGATCTCAGAGTGCTAAAACTGACCTGCACCATTTTAACAGAAGTAAGGTTCTGCACACCAGGTGCCCAGCGGCCACTGCCTGCATGCAACTGCGACATCTCACCTTCTTGAAACAAACAGGAGATGGGCTACTCCACGTCAGAGAGCCAGTCCACTCAGAGCAGAGGCACACATGCCGTCTGGCACCCTAAGACTGCTGCCATGCAAAACCCCACATCCCACAGGAAGCAGCTCACCTCTAAATCCCGGCAAGCAGGGTCTTCCCCATCACGGGAAATTCAGTATGTCTGCTAGACCCGACTCGTGATGCTCACCATGCAGGGCAGCGTGATGCTCCGCTACAGACCAGCATGAGGTTACTTCCTCTTCCCAGGAAGTATTCCAGCTCTCATAAACAGCCAGCTCCAGCCTGACAGATCGTTTCCTGAACAAGCCCTTGGAATTCCCTAGAGTCCTTATCTTAGTTAATGGGTAATTATTTTGATGGATAACAATGAATAATCACTTTCCCAGCTAAGAACTTCCTCTATTGACTTGTTTAACATTCCATTAAAGGTTAGTTGCCAAATAAGCTCCTTTTTTGTCAAATATTTATAACTACGAGCTCATTTTTATATTTAAAGGAGTTGCTAATGCTTCAGGTTAAGCCTCTTTCACAGAAGGATTTTTTTTATTACAACTCTGTTATGACTGACCTAACATGCTCACTTGTCTACAACCTTGTTTTGACCTAAATCAAAGCCCAGAGGAAAAATGATTATGCTAGACAGATAGAAAATAAGAAGTTACTTTTGACACGGATGTAATACTAACAGTATATGTAACTCTACTTACGCTCGCCACCAAACGCTGACTTCTTCTAACACACATGACTTCATGAATTACCTAACGCAAGATTTGTTTGTGTAAATTCACAAGTGAAATGGGAACCTGAGAATTTAAAGTAGCAACTTGACTACACTGTACATAAACAGTACTTGTGCTACTGTAGAAAAAGCTGCTGTGACTTGTAACTCCAGGTTGTAGGTTCTTTCCACAGTTTCGAGCTCTCATTCTCATGTATCTGCATTTACAAAAAATGAAATTCACTCAAAAGCCAAGAAGAAAACATCTACAGGAAACAAGAACCCATTTCAGGGCCAGTCCAGGAATAACCTAATTATGCCTAAATCGCTGCTTGGGCACAAACGGTTTCTTCAAAGCAGTTTCACAGGTCACAAGATGCAAAAATCACACCAAAAACTATTCCAGCATTTCAAGATGTAACTGACTCCTGCCTCTATGGCCATAACACTGAGCGATGGGAACATCTCAAAGCAGTCCAGAGGAAGGGCTAGAGCAATTCCATTTATAGTCACAGTATCATCGGCATTGCTCCAATTCAGAGAGGGAGATTAAAGAGTAATTCCTAGTCCATAATCTTGGCACTCTCTTCCAGACGAGCAGGCCTTGTTCACATCTTCCCTAGGCGTGACAGGCCACCGTTTCTCTTCTCTTTCTGTTGACCTTTCCTTCCCAGACGGAACCTTTTCCAACACTCCAGAAATTTCGCTCTGCATGCTTCACTAAGGGCGAAGAAATGGCTGGGTGCCTTGTCTTTATCAAAGAGTTTAATGTAAGCATTTTGGACTCTCCAACCTCTGGGGTTTTTTTACTGTGTTTTTCAAATGACTAGCTTTAAAAATCAAGCTAGCAAAACAACATGGCCAACTTAAACAAATACAGGAAATACAGAAGTGATGGCTCTCAAAGCCACATTAACTCCCCCCCCCCATACACATTGTGTAACAAGTCCAAAAAAGCAGCTAATAATCCAAAATGTGTGTGATCAGTGTGGGTGTGTAACTGTTACTATAGTAATCTCATTTCCATTTCCTGACCATAGTTTAGCCAGCCCACACACTTGTCTAAGGGAAAACGTGCTCCTACCCAGTTTTGTGCCCCTGTAAGAGAATCATGAAACCAAACTGTCTTATCAGGTTTACAGGATCAAGTCCTTCAAACTTCATCTTCCTCTCCTCTTCCTCCCACCACACTGCTTCTGCGTGAGATCTTAAACTCCTTGAACTGGCTAAACAGATCTGACTTTTAAAAAATTCTGAATTTCTGATCAAGCCTGTTAATTCAGAGATAGTTAGTTTACATTTTCATTTTAAAAAGATGCAAAGCAAAAAAGCAATAAACTCCTTGAGAGCAACTGTTAGTTAAGATACAGCATTTTCAAAGACCCTGTATGTTCAAGCACTGTTTCTTCAAGCATAGTTAGAAGTGGTTGCTTTCACACAAAAATAAAAATGATACATCCTTCTATTTTAAGATTGACTTTCCTAAATTCTTCAAAGTCACGTGCTTGCTCAGACAACCCAGGAAGTTGTTGTGCAGGCACTAGCCAAGGTAGGCAATGTACATTTAAGGTCATTTGAGAAAACGCTTCAAGACAAAGGTCTCTGAAAGGAGAGTATTCTTCACAAGTTAAGTTCTAACTGCTCTTTCCAGACATACCTGTGACTCCAGATGATCCTCATGAGAATGCAGTCACTCTGCATTCATCCTAAACAGTATATGGCAGCTACATCTTTCACATAAATAACAGAGACATGCTTAAGAGAAGAGAGTTTACTTTTCTAGATTACCACACACCAAGTGTTCTTGTGCCAAACTGCAATACACTTAAGTAGGAAGTCTAGTCAAAAGCATTTCCAAACAATCAGTTTCCCATGGATTGAATTACTCAGTAAAAAAAAAAAAATAAAGAAATCCGCCTACAAAAGCCTTGATACGCAAAGACAACTAGTACTGCCCTGTGATCGGTATGACAAATGGATGACGAGGAGCAGGACAGGAGGAGACCACCAGGGTCCCAACCAGGTGACATATGCTCGTTTGTAGAGATGGGTAACTGGAGCCCAGCTTGACACACAAAACCAACACAGCCCATGATTCCAAGTACGTACATCACTCCTGCTGTGGATGAACTCAGGGCAGCTAACAGCATCAGAAAGCAAGCAAGCATAATTTATCTGGAGGTGTTAGAGGGCAAAAGGGTGTGGTGAGTTGGAAATGGTATCTTGTAAGATTTGGAGGAACTGGAGGAGAAAAAGGAAGGGAATAGAGTTTAATACGCTTTAGGGGTAAAAAGGCTGAGGAGAAAGACACGTTCATCTTCATTCAAGCACTGAAGTTAACTGTGGCCTTTACTGACATAAAACTATGTATTTGTAGAGGTTTATGTTAATGGAATTTCACATTCCAAAAGGGCATTAGGAGATACCACCCTAATCTCCTTGACTCTACCTCAGGTCTTACCCATTTGATTCTTTGCCTCTAATTTGGCTCCAAAGAAATCTGTCATTTCTAGCCTTCTTTCCTTTTCTTCCCCTTTCATGTTATGAAATCCTGACACTCAGAAATTAACATTCTAGCAGAGCTTCCTGCCTTGCTGAGATTTCTCCCTTCAATCTTACATTACATGAATACCACAAAGAAACTCCAAGAGAAGTTTTCAGAAGAACAGACAGGAATGCATTACGAAACATCACCAAAATCAAGCACTTTGAAGAAGCATCATTTACCTGGCAAACAGTTGCACTCAAAGGTGAAGTCACTTGTTTGATGACATGTTCCTCCGTTCATACAGGGTGATGGGGAACACGGTACATACACGCTCTCACAGCGATGCCCTGTATAGCCTGGCTTGCACTGGCATCGGTATGAACCCGGCAAATTGACACAAGTCCCACCATGTTGACACAGGCCTGGTGTGGCACATTCATTCACATCTATCTCACACTTCTGGCCAGTATAGCCAGACAGACAGATGCAGGAGAACCTGTTCCCAGATACAGTACATGTACTTCCATTGGCACAAGGCTGAGATGTACAGGCATCAATCCACTGGCAATCCTTTCCTGTAGGATCAAGACAGAGCACTCCATTAATAAAAGGTCATTTCTATGGAAAAATAGTATTTCCTTCATGCTACTTCAAAATGTTTGGTGTACTAAACCTTATTATTACAGGAAAATTTGTGGCTGGATTTTACAGTATTATATTTGAAATGAAAATCCATTTATGGTTACAGTAAGAAGTCACACATTTACAGGGTAGCAGCAAGATATAGGATGCTGTGATTTATGAAAATAACCCAGGACCTGAAATCATGCTACACACTGACAGTCAGTCTTTTTCTACATCCCTTTCAAGAATGAAAGGAATGAGTCTCCACGGTTCCTATCAGGCACCCAATTACAGTTTTCCCACAGAAAGATTTTGCTGACTGAATTTACTTCACTTTTTCTAGAAGGTGGACTCCGAATTCAAAGTGTAACAGCAACTCCAGAGTAGCTTCTGCACTTGGTTTTCCCATGTGGACAACCCCACAAGATCTAAATGTATTTCTGCTTACATGTAAAGAGTTTGATTCCCTACCCTCTCTTTGCTTTTTTTGGTCATGAAGTCAGTTAGATGACTTCTCATTTCCTGTGCTAGAGCTAGTAAATTTGAGAGCCTGTCCCAGAACATTCCAAGATGAAGTAATTCCCAAAGAAGGGAGTCTGGAGGTACAAGCGCAGAACCTCACCTGTGTAACCTGGAGGACAGACACATTCATACGTTTCCTGGCTGTGGGGATGACAAGTTCCTCCATTCAGGCAAGGTTGTGACACGTAGCAGAGGTGCGATTCAGAGTATTGACAATCCTCTCCCGTGAACCCTGGAGCACATTTGCAGGTAGCCTTTCCTATCAGAGATGTAGTTTCACACGTTCCCCCGTTCTTACAGGTATTGCTTTCACAGGGGTTTCTGTACTGACAGTAGTCTCCAAGAAAGCCTTCTCGACACCTGCAACAGAGAAGAAATTACTTGCAGCACATTCACCTGAAGCCTCCCTGTCCTGGGAAGATATCAGGAATGAAGTCCCATGGCCACCAAAAGACTTGAAGTGTGCTATAATTAATGGTAACACTAACAGACCTAACCGCTAACGTCATAGATGTAACAGGGCCTTCCTCTGGGATTGTCCCAAATGGGACTACTAAAAACTTAAGTTCAAATTGTGAAACCACTCTACAAAATAAATAAATACTGCATACAATCAGAGTGACATCAAATGCAGGAACTTACTCTCGCACATTCCTTCAAAACATCAGTAAAAGCCTAAGTGTTAAAGAACTGCTAAGTAACAATTAACTCCTTGCACCTACTCTCGTTCTAATAAACATCCCTTTTCAGAAGAAAACCAAGCTGTTTCAGCAATAGGAATTAACACTAGGTATTATCCATCTTCCAAAGTATTTATAAACCTTGTACAAATGCAGTGTCTGAGGGCCTGAAGATCTGTAGCAGATCTTTCTCCGCAACGCTCCCGTGAGACAGGAATATACTGTTATCCTCATGTTGATAAGAGCATCTGGGACTGTGACATGCTGAAATCTGCACTCAACTAGCAACACAAGCACTGAACTCAGGTCTCCCACGCCCCTGGCTCGCACTCTAGCAACAAGGTCATTGTTCCTCTGTCTCCCACAGAAAAACGAGTACACATACACTATCTACAACTAGGGTAATATTTTATACAAAGATCTGCAATTGCAGAATAATTGCAGTTATTTCTCTCTAACCTAAACTTATGTCAATACAGTCTGACTACACTTGTCAGCTGCAATCCATCTTTTAACTGGCCTTTGTACTACGAATTTTCCATTTAACTTTCAGGGACACAGGACCCATGCAGGCACGCCTGCAAACCCCACCTTTGTGTCACCCACAGCTGCATTTGCTTCCTTCAGGTAGCAGAAAGCTGTAAGAGTATATGCTGGATAAAAATAACACCTAACATACAGAACAGGACTGTCCACTCAATTTTTTTCTACAGTGCACAGCTGCATGCTTTAACTGGTAAGTAACCCAAGATACACACAGTCTGATAGAACATGTATTTCACCGCAAAAAATTCAGAGGTGAACACTAGATACACTTTGTTCCAGAACAGGATAGGCGCAATTATTAAATCAATGAGTTACTCAAATCCAAAGCCAAGAGATTCCAACTGCAAAAAAACCCACAAAGTCTCTAGTCAGCCCCCAGGCAAGAATGTAGCACTAAAGAGACTGCCTTTCCCTTATGCACTTAAAAGTGTACGGTGGATTGGAAAAAAACCCACCCATACTTAACTGGATAGGTCTTAAAATTCAGTTTAGAAAAAAATAAAATCACAGAATTGTCATGAAGCTATGTTTTAAACAGAATACTACAGGGATCTGCCTTTGTTCCTGTGCTATTCAACGCTTCTATCAATGAATAACGACAGAAAATGCTGGTCAAACATGTAGGTAAGAGAAGCTCTTGATAGAGAGGAGTAACATGAACTGCTTAACAAGGCAGTCAGCACGTAAAGTGCACTTTAACATTGCAAAGTTGTACATCTATAAATAAAACATATACAGCATCCTCCCCAAAACAGGAGACTGACCTGGGAAAGACAAACTTACTCTCGGGGTTCCTATCAGTCAGCCGAACATGAATTCCTAGCGTGAGTTTGGCCATGAATACTTTAGATGTACAAACAGCAAATATCAAGTAGGAGTAAATGAGATTATGCTACACCTGATATTTGCATGGCACAAACATTACATCAGTTCTGGTGTCTGCTCTTTAAGAAGGAAGAGCTGAAATGAATTCAAAGAAGCCAACAGTAATGATTAATAGAAAACTCTTGACAATGGAAAGCTCAGTCTATTTATCAAAGGGAAAAGGGAAAG